GAGGCCGTCCGTCTTGTCCAAGGTCATCTGGTACATGGCCGCGTTAGCGCTCATCTTCTTCTTGAGGTTCTCCACCTTCCTGCCCAGCTTCTCGGCGTTCTGGTCCTTCGTCTTGCGGAAGATGTCAACGAACTTGCAGTTCTCGACTGTCTCGTTCGTCCGCAAGGGCTTCGTGACATCGAGCGTCATGCCATCCTTGAACTCGAGCACGCCGTTATCACCCTCTGCGGCCTCGCTGGGGGGGCGGTGTCGCGTCGGTTCGAGGGGCTGGCGTCTAACTCGGCCCTCGCCCCTCGGGGGCCCGCCCGAGGAGAGCTCCTACAGGGCCAGCTCGCACTCAGGACCAAGCAAAGTTCGAATCTCTCGCGGGGCTCTGCAAGAGCCCCCCTAAGGCTCCCCCAGGCCCTGGGCCCTCCAGGACAACGCAGCCCCCAAAGGGCCTCCCAAACCGTTTCCAAAAAATTCCCCACCACGTGTTCCTGAAAGCCCTAAGAGGGCCCCACGAGGGCCAGCTCGTACCCGAGATGTTTGAAGCACACTCTGGTCGCGCCTGGGGCCCTCTCGGGGCATTCTCGTGGCCGGCCCGATGCCCCCCCCCCGAAGTCCACGTAGCCAGCCTCCCCTCACCATAGTTGCTTTGCCCGATTGTCCTCAGCGTCGCGCACGCATGCTGCGAACGCCTTCGCGAGGGAGTCCACCATGCGGTGCTGCTCGAAGAGCTTCTGGATCTTGACCAGGGCAGCGTACTTCTTGCGGGAGGCATCGGCAGCGCTTGCCTGGACGTCGTTCTTCATGTGCTGCACGGCTGCCAAGCACTCGTCGAATTCAGCCTGCGCCGACTTGAGTGCATCGATGCTCTTGGCCGCCTTTTCCTGGATCTCTGCCAAGTTCATCCTCTGGTTGTACTTCTTGATGCCGTCCCACTCCGACTTGCAGGACTCAATGGCCTTCGTCAGCTTAGACTTCGCTGCCGCATAGTCGATGCTGTCGAGGTCAGATGCGGTCCCTTGGAGTTTGGAGTAGGCCTTGTCGGACTGCGCGAACCTGTCGCCCTTCTTGTAGACGTCCAGAGCATTCAGCCGCTGCTTGAACTGGGCGCTGAACTTCTGCTTCGCACTCAGGAACTTGGAGATCGCCATCTTCCCCGTGAGCTCGACGAACTTCTCGGGCTCCTCGTCCTCCTCCTCCTCACGCTCCTCCTCCTCAGCTGCAGCCGCTGCGCCATCTTCGTCATCGGCATTCTCGCTCTCCTCCAGCTGCGCCGCACGCGTCCTCCCGCGACCCTTGATCTGCAGCGTCGGTGCGCCAAGCGACGAGCCGTTGGTCCTGGACCTCTTGCTGGTAGATGTCCGATTGCTCAAGCTCCTGCTCCTCAATCGCCGCGGTGCCCTCGCTGGGCTGGGGCTCGGTGCTCTTGGCGACGCGCGGGCCCTCTCCTGCTCTCCAGCCTGGGAGGGGACCAGGAGAGAGCAGACGCGTTGGAAGGGCGGCATCGGGCATGAGGCAGACAAAGGAGAAAGGCGTAGAAAAGGGAAGCAGCACGGGAGGCAAGAGCAGGCGCACGAGCAAAGCATCTTCGCACCCTGAGAACCTTCGAAGCCGCACCGCCTCCCAGGGCCCTCCGCCCCGCGCGCGCCAGAACGCCCTGCTGGAACTTCTCGGCGCCCCTCTCGACCAGGTCGCGGAGAGCCGCGGCGCTCGCTGATGACCGAGCCTCGGAGGAGCCGTATTTTTTTACCTTCTGCGTGCTCTTGCTGTGCTCGACACACACGGGCTTGTCGACGGCCGCGGTATTCTGGCCCTTCCTGTTCTTGCGCTTCTCAACGTCGGGGTCATTGGTATCCTCGTTCCACTGCTTGGCCGCCTCCTCGTCGGACAGCCCTTCCCTCATCTTGAACCACTGGATGTACGCCCTGTGGTGCAAGAAGATCACCTTCTCCTTAGTGGTAGTGCTGTCCACCGCCACCAGCTCCTCGCAGAAGTCTAGCACTTGAACACGCTGGACCTGTCTCTTCTCGTGCTTGTTCTTCGACAGCATGGCCAGGGCAATCGTCCGAAACTTCTCGGGGTCCGTATTCAGGAGGGCCATCACCCTCGACTTCAGAGATGGGCGGGCATTCAGGGTGCGCTCCAGCGCTTGGCACGCATTGAAGCAGTCAATGTGCAGCGGCCCCAGGCCGAACTTCTTGAACTTCGAGAACTCCGCAGTCTCCCCCCCGAGTAAGCACAATTGGCACATCAGCTCCTCGACGTCGGCGGTGGTGCACACCTCGCTGCCGAGGTACTGCATGATCATATCCTCGTCGCTGTCCATGTCGTGGTCCTCCTGCCGCAGCGGCATCGCTCAAGTAGCTGCTATCTGGCTCGGCGACTGCACTGGTGGCACCGCAGACTGGCTGACCTCAGAAACAGCCTGAGCCAAAACGGCTACGATCGGACGAGAGGGTCCAAGAAAAAGGTCGTGAGCAGGCGTCTTAAGTGTACCGATTTGGGCCGAAATCGGTACACTCAAGACGCCTGGTCGGCCCCCCGCGCTGGGGCCCGCGGTGGGGTCGGCTGCCGTGGCCTGCGGCTGCCATTACACTGGCGGCTTCGTCCAGCGGTGAAGGGCGCCCGCCGTTGTGTCTCACATGTCTGTATGGATTTTGCTTCGCAACTGTTCCGATTCCGATTCCGATAGCCCCCGATGGGCCACTTGAGTCCACTTGGCCCCCGGTGGGCCACTTGAGTCCCCCGATGGGCCACTTGAGTCCTCTCAGCCAGAGCCCGACGGGCCACTGGACTCAACATATGGCGGGATACTGGAGTCAAGGCGCGACAATCCACTGACGACGACGACGACGACGACGAACGGAGAGGTTACCATTTGGCCCCCCTCCCTCCGTTACCATTTGTCCCCCCTGCCCCCCGTTACTGGTTGTGCACCCCCTCCCTCTGTTACTAGTTGTCCCTCCCCCTTATGTTACGATTTGTCCCCCCTCCCTCTGTTGCCATGTGGCCTCCCTCCCTCTGTTACCATTTGCCCCCTACCTCTTGGAGCCCCCCATGGCTTTGCGCGAGCCCGAGTGGAAGCAAGAACGCACGATGAAGCAAGACAAGACGACGAGAGACGATGGTGATGCTTACATACCATGAAAAGTACAAACGAAGTTAAGGTTGGAGAGGATCCCAAGGGGTGTCGGAGTGATTTCGAATGATTTCGGAGTGATTTCGAATGATTTCGGAGTGATTTCGGAGTGAGTTCGGAGTGATTTCGAGTGATTTCGGAGAGGCTGGAGTGATTTCGGAGTGATTTCGGAGTGATGCCGAGTGATTTCGGAGAGGCAAGAGTGATTTCGGAGTGATTTCGGAGTGATTTCGAATGATTTCGGAGAGGCTCGGAGATGCTAGAGTGTATGAGGAGTGATTTCGAGCTGTTTGGTATTGCATGTTGCCCTAGGGCATAAGGAAAATAACAGAAACAAGTGCATGCACCTTGAAACCCGAGAGACTCCTTCAACGGGCGGTAGTGCCAGGAGAGCAGCATGGCTAGTCACGGTCTGCTGCGGAGACAGGACCACCTCTGAACAAGGCCATGCAGAGAAGTGCGTCGGGGGTCGGGGTCAGTGTGAGAGGGCGAGCGGGGTATGGACGAGCGGGTGTGGAGAAGGGATCAGAGAAGCACCGAGCACTTGGAGCGGGGCCCAGCGAGGAGGCGCAGCAGCATGGCAGCGGCGGATACCTTGTCTCACATTTTCAACTCAAGCTTTCAGCATATGGTATAGTTCTGGACTGTTTGGCCACTGCGTGCAAGTCGCGTGGGAAAACACCCCCGCGGCGCCCGATGCAAAACTGGAGTGATGGAGGGGGCGCTAAACCTATCCGCAACGACCAAGCGCACCGTCACCCAGCGCGCGGTTCCAGAACTCCTGAGCCGAACAACCCCCAGGCCAGTCTCACGTCTGGCCGTACTTGTTGGCGAGCCTCTGGTAGTCGGTGCCCGTGTACGCTGCGCAATGTTTGGTGAGCTTGCCAACCTTCGAGTGTTGCTGGAGCTGGAACTTCACTAAGTTAGTGTTGATGCGCTTGAGGATCGCGATCTCCTTGTTCTTCTCCTTGATGACCCTCTGCAGCTCGCGCTCCCTCGGGGTTAGCACCATCTGCTCCAGCAGGGGCGCTGCTACTCGGGCCTGCGCCAGGGACAGCGGGTCGACCCAATTGGCGTCGGGACAACCAACACCGCGACGAACGCTTGAGTCGAAAACAGCTCTGTGAGGATGATGCGGATGATGATGAGTGTAATTGTGGTGAGGACGACGAACAAGTGACCGTCGACAGTGAAATTAACGCCAAACGCATGCTGGGGAGCAAGGGGCCATCGAATCGCACAGTAGAGTACCCCGAGACTTGGCCCAAATACCCCAGAAGACATCAGGCCAGGGGACTCGAGCACCCAAAGCCGACACTTTGCATGACAGACACATGCGATGTGATGGTGACGCTACGGACAGTGAGAATGATGACGAAGGTAATGACGGCCAAAACACATGCGCACTCAATCCATACTCCCACGCTGCAACACACATGAGGCCGATGATGAGGGTGACGGTGAGGGTGATGAATATCCGAGTGGACTACGACATACGGCGACGATAGAGGCGCGCTCATTCAGCCAGACAGTTCAACATCACAAGTAGCAGTTCGCAAGTAGCCACGCCCTCTGGTCTTCCAGAGGAATCTCTAAAGCCCGACTCACGTGGGCAGCCCTGCCCATGTGTCGGCCCATCTCCTGCCACACGGCCAGATAAGCAATGGGCTGGTAGATGCCCAGATCAGCGCATTGAGCAGCCATCGCGTTCCGCCTTCTAGCACAGTTCGGGTGGCTGTCGCGCTTCAGCCGATATCGGAAATATCCCGAGATCGCCATGCGATCTTCAGTGGCGAGGCGCTGGCCCCCGATAAACTCAGGGATTTCAGGGGCGGGGCCGGCCACGTCCTCGACCTCTGGCGCCAGCATCTCGTCAGAGGTACTCGAGCTCGAGCTGCTGGAACTCGATGAGGAGCTCGAAGACGAGCTGCTCGAGGACGAAGACAAGTCAGACTTTGGCGCCTCGTCGCCAATAGGCCCGCCAGATTCCGAGCCGTCCTCCAAGGCAGCAGGCTCGGGCCCCCCGCCAGGGGCAATCGCGTCGCCGTCTTCTACGGCTTCAGGGAGGTCTAATTCTGCAATCACGTCCTCGATCTGTTCCCCTTGTAGAATCCGCCTGTACATCTTCGCTGACAGTCCAGGGGGAACGATGCTCCCTCGGAGCAAGTTCTTGTAGTAATCGATCGGGGCATCGCTGCGCATCTCCGCCAAGCCCTGCCCCACCAAGGTGTCCCACGACAGCAAGCACTGGAGATACTCTCGGCGGGAACTCACTTTCCGAATGCTGTACTCTGTCAAGGGGGCACCCTCAGACTTGTGGACGACCAATGTGTCTGACATGACAAAGCCTCGCCTGTTGAGTTCCTTCATGATCACAAGGGGCGGGCACTGTGAATCGGCCAATGCCATAGTTGGTCGAGCCAGGGAGCACGCCTTCAAATCAAGGCAACCAGGCATGTCGTGGTTTCTCGCAACCTCCCATGCATACAACTCCTCCATGAGATTCGCCCATGGGGCAGTTGCGACGAGATCAGTCCGAAGTCCATCGCCATCAGGGTATATGATCGCGCCAGCCCCGCGGTCGGGACCCCAGAACGCATATGTCTGAATGGCTAGTTCAAATATCGGCTTCCGTACTTGCGCTCTGATGGGGTTGACCGTGAGCCATGGCCTCGTCACAACTTTCAAGACTTCGAACACGAAGGGGTCGTCGTTGTCTGGGACCGCGACGCTGTAGAAGCAGCGGGGGTGAATCACGGCGTCCAGGTAGCTCTTCTTCAAGCTTGCCCCCTGGTCGGCAGGCAGGGGGGGACCCCCGTGGGGCTCGACCAGCGCTGCATCGCGCCCAGGTGACGGGGGAAGGCCATCGCCGCCGTCGCCAGCACCTCCGTCGCCCACTGGTGGTCCCACGCCAGCGTCAGCGCCATCTTCAATGCCCGCAATCGCAATCGCGGCTGCAGCAGCGTCCCCTGTCATGATCTCTGCCCAATCGAAATGGTTGAACTCGCCGAGGCGGTATACTCGCTGAATGCACTGACGCAGCGGCTGCTTGACGCGCTTCAGGAACAACTTACTTTTCGTCTGCAGTACCCTGGTCGCGTGTCGAAACTCGCAATCTAGACACGCTTCCCCCTCGGGGCAGTCCTCGAGCATCGCCACGACATCCAGGTTTTGCCAGATCCTGTTGGAGGATAGTAACCACGGCAAGCGGGAGACGCCGCCGCGAGTTTTGCCGAGTTTGGTTGACCTGTGGTAGCCTTCAGCAACCTGGGATGACAGCGGGATCCTGCGGAAGGCTTCGACCTGCTCCTCCAGGCGGCTTGGGACGTCGCCGCCGCTGCCCTCGTCAGCGATCCTCCTGATATCCTGCTCGAACTCGTCCATGAGCAAAACCGTCATTCTGTGATGGTCTCGCCGAGGAATCACTTCCCACTGTTGGATCATAGATTGGGCGACCGCCTGGTCCGTGGCATTAGCGAACGTATATGGCATCATATCAACCCAACCGAACTTTTCCTTGAACTCGGGCAGGAAGCGCCTCAGGCAAAATGTCAAGTCACTGAATACGGCCTCGTCGCCCCCAACGTCGCCGACCACCAGGGTTTCTGCCGTGCGAGTGAGCTCTGTCCTCAAGTCATGAACCCTCTTAGATGCCTCGTGGAGCCGTCGGCCCAGCATCTCGCACTTGACGCTCTTCCCCTTCATCAGCGCTTCCTGGTGGGCAGGGTGTGGGCAGGCTGCCGCCCAAGTTCTGAACCGATCGATCGGCTTCGCCATCATGGTGAAGCCGCTCACCCAACGCCAGAAATGGCTGTTACCCTTGTGCTTCAGAACCTCGTTGAAGTCCTGCGCGTCCTGGAGCGCACCGAGCATGTGCGGCCTGAAAAAAGAACATATGTTGCGTAGCCTGCTCAGCGAAACAACGACATCCAGGAACGTCTCGAACCTCCACTTGGCGAACGACGCAGAGAAGTATCTCAACAGTTTCGAAAAGTCACCATGCCCATTTGTTTTCAACCAGACCACGAGCGCCTCACGATAACTATCGCTTCGAAAGAACCTGCAGTGGGCTCGAAGAGTGTTCAAAATATTCGGCCACTCCTCCAGAGCCTGCAGCGATGCCTTCAGGCACCCAGAAATGAGATGATGCCAATCGGGAACGGCCACGCAAAACTCCAGCAGCCTACTGTATGACGCAAACATTGCCGAAACTTGAAGCCCCAGCTTGCTCGCAAAGACGGTCAGACAGTTCCCCAGATCTGCGATCAGACGCTCGTGGCCCATGTCGGTTGTAATCGACAAGCAGTCTTCCAGAACATGTTCAAGCGTTTCCATGCGAGGACCCGCAATCAGCCAAAGCTGCCACAAAAGTGCAAATGCCTTGTCCATTGCCCCTTGGTAGCCGTGGCCCAAGCACACGCCTGGCAACAAATGCCCCAACACTGATGCGCCAGGGATAAATATGTCGCACAAGCTCCCCATGATCTCTTCCCCCGAGTTCGGACTCGAGTCGGTGTACAAGTGGATGGTCCGACGCCCTACTCTGGGCCGGCTCCATGGCCCAACGCTCAACATCCGCCTCTCGATGCTCATCACGGCCATATCCAACCTCGGACGCGCAGCGTACAGCTGCGCTCTGCTGGGATAAGAAAACCCGTTGTTGAACAACTCAGCGAGCATGTCCTCGTAGACGCGCGGGTAATGAGCTTTGAACGTAGCTTCGCTCTGCTTCTCCAAGTCCTTGAACTTTCTCAAAAATGCCGTGCACCGAATGAAGCGCAACATATGCATCGACGACTGGGTTGTGCGACGATCGCCGTTGCCAAATTCGGCAACGTCCCTCCAGTCATCTGGTGCCGAATCCGACGCTGAAGCTTCATGTTCGCATCCTTTACTGCGAGACAAATACGATGCGATGTCCGCTCGGCTGGGCTTCGATGTAAAAGGGAAGATCACACTTCTATTGCGCATTGAGAGTGGGACGATGCAGCACTCGTCAGTAAGCCCTGAAACGATACAACGACCTAGTACCACTGATGTAATAAGGATCTCTGACACTGGCAAACCGACCCTCTGCAAGAACGCGGGAAGGCCAACTTCACGACGAATCGCCCGTTGTACCTGTCCAAGGCTCACACGACCCGCTGAACCAGGCAATAGTTGCGGTGCTGGGCTGGCAAGACCCTCAATGTACGGATATTCGAGCAGGCCTGCGTGATTGCAGTACCTGCGCCGCCACAAATCTGATCTGACAAGGGTACGCGCATCACTCAACTCCGACGTCGACTCTGAGAACCTCCAGTTTGAAACAACGACGCCCAACAAATATTTATCATCAGACGCTGGCAGCGGATCCTGGAAGAGCCCATTGTGCACATAATACAACGTATCTGAATCCGATGGCTCAGGCTTGCCGCAATCCCCTAAAATAGCAACTGCAAACCGAGGGCCATGGTCTCGTAAGATACATTGCCTCCTCGCGCGCTTTGCTCCACTGGGCTGGAGAAGCTCAGGCGACGAAGTCGGGTGCGGGCACAGCACCTCTGAGTCTGAACTCATGTGGGCCAAAATGGCTGCGGACGAAGGATCGAGTTGCGTCGAACATTGTTTTGTGAGCATTATGCCAACAATCGCCCTTACGATGACGACGGCCACGACGATGTCGGTTGTGGTGGGGCAACTCAATACGGCCAGGAACATGCTCATGCACAATGCTGTGATGCACCGACCCCCAGTAGAAATATCATCAGGGACCGTGCAATGCCAACTCTTTCCAAACAGCCCACAAGGGAGGGAACGACTTTAGAAACTTCCGCCCTCGCAGGGGGCAACTCCAACGTCGGCGGGGTCGAACTTACCCCACATTACGTTCGAACATCATTCCGCATGGCCGAAGGCCCTTCAAGGCTGAAGCAGTTCTACTTTCGCATTACATGAAAGCCTTCAAGGCAAGGGGCAAGGAGAGAAGGGAGGAGCGAGAGGGAGGATAAAGGAGAAGGAGAGGGAGAGGGATAGGAAGCTGAGACAGAAATAATGATAATATTTTCCTATATCCCCACGCCCCCCCCCCACCTACAGGAATCACTCCTGGCCTCCCTGGGCCTCCCCAAACCCCTAAGCGCGGACTTTACAAACTCGGAATCCGAAAAACTCGTCGTCGGAGCAACTCGTCTTCTGCCGATCCCGTCCGGGAGGAGTCCCTCAGCAAGAAGCCAGTCATGATAGCTCCTCTCCGAGAGAGGCCGTCATTCGTCCTGAGTAACTCAGGACCGAGTGGACCAGCAGTTTTTTCCAGACTGCGTCCGCTCCCTGCTGTAGCACATCGCGTCGCCAGCGCTGCTGGCAGAACAGCTCGCTCCGAGCGCGCCCGCTCGCTTCTGGAGCACGCCGCGTGGCCAGCGCTGTCGACGTGAGGACCTCTCCGAGCGCCCCCGCTCGCTTCCGGGAAGCTCACGCCGAGCGCGCCAACTCGCTCCTGCCGAACTCCTCCTCCATCTGGAGGAGTTTGAATCTGGAACAACTTCTCATTGGATGACCTCGTCTTCGGAAGCGCCGCCTGGAAGAGCCCGCGGGGAGAGGCTCGAAACCAGATGAGGCGCCAGGGCTTCCCTCCCCCCCCTCCCCTCTTCCCTCCCGGCGACGGCCAACACGACGACGAGAACGGCCAACACGACGGTGACTACAGCGACGACGTTGACGATCTTGACTTCGGATGCATATCCTGGGAGGCGAATAGCTCAGCATCGGCGCTGGTAGATCCTTGGCCGAAAACCGGCGCAATCCGCCACAATCCCGCATGTTGGTCCCGCGGAATCCAGCTGAATCGCTGCTTAAATCTGAGCGGATCTGGCCGATTTCCTCATGTGGCATTCTAGCTTTTAAGTCGGGCTTGTCCCTCTACAGGAGGAGAATTCAAAAATAGTCAAAGAATATCCTGGGGACGACTTTCCTGACCATTCTTAATCATTTGGGAATATGTGTTATGTTTTTTGTTTAGTGAATGTTCGTACAAAATCCCCCTGTAGGGGGACATGCCCGACCTAATTACGTATAGCTCTTACTCGTTCTCACGCAGACCTCCCAGGAAGCGTTGCCTGAGGTTGGCGACGTTGACGACGACGTCGACGGCGGCGGCGACGACGTGGAAGTGACGCCGAAGTCGACGACGACGACCCGAAGGAGCCGCGCGGCCACGCCGAGGGCGCCGCCCCGGCAGCCGACGACGGACCGCGCGCTCCGGGAGCGCCGCACGGCAAGGACCACGCGCCTCGTTCGCCGCCGCCGTCGTCGCCGTCGTCATTTCAGACTCTCCGAGGTGAAGGCGTAAAGTCCCTCCCCACGACTTCTCCAGACCTCCTCGCCTCGTGACAAAAATCGCAGCGGAAGGTGTTTCTGCATTTTCGGCCTTCCGGGTCCCTGGCTAGGTACCGGGACCGTCAACGAAGATTCAGGATGAACAGCTGGCCCTGGGGAGTGAATGGATCGAGACCTGATCCTCCCCCCTCCTCGGGGTCGGGGTCCCTGGAGGTTTCCAGAAGCCACCTAAGGTATGCCAAACTGGCCCACGACCGCGATCCCCGTTCTCCCTCCGGCAGTTCCTCCTTCCCCTGATCCTCCTCCTCTCCCCATCCTCCTCCCCGGTGTCAGCAGGCAGCAGGGCCCAGGTGCCAGTGTCAAGCCTTTGGGGAGTAGAGTACCTGTCGCCTCGACGGGCCTCCAGATGTTGGGCTCTGGCCGAGTCCGCGTGGCCGCGCCTCGTCTTCGAGAGAGGCCCCCTTTTCCTCCTTCTCCTACTCGTCCTTCCTCCTCCTCCTCCTCCTCCTCCTCCTCCTCCTCCTCCTCCTCCTCCTCCTCCCCCTCCTCCTCATCCTCCTCCCCCTCCTCCTCCCCCTCCTCCCCCTCCTCCTCAGGCCGCGGGTCCGCCTCCCCCCCCTTCACCCCGCGCAGGAGCACGACGTCGACAGCCTGCTGCAGGAACTGGAGCTGAGCCTCGCGTGACCCTCCTCGGCGCGCAGCCCGCGAGCCGCTGCGGGCCGACCGGGCGCCGCGAGGCCTCCCGCCACGGCCTGCAGCCAGAGGTGCTCGTGGCCCAGGATGCCCCCAGGATTTTCCAAGGAGGACCCCACGGCCTGCAGCCAGAGGAGACGAGGGGCCACCGCCACCGAGAGCCCCGCGGGGGGGGGGGGGGGGGCGGCCCCTGGGCGGTGGCAGGCCCGAGCGACGTCCTGCACGTGGGGGACGCTCGGGCGTGCCACCGCCCAGGGGTCGGCCTCTCCCGACGATTTCCTCGGCGGCGGTGGTCCCTGCTTGTCCTCTCCTCTGATCGGGGGCCACATGCGAACCCTACCCCTACCCCCCTCAGAGATCGTGGGGGGTAGGGGCAGGGTTCGCATGTGGCCCCCTATCTGATCCAGGGCACCCCTCACGAGGCCCAGAGGGCCCCCCCTGGGCTCCCAGAAGGGGGCGAAGCGTTGGGGACACTTCGGGCCAGGGGCTCCCTGGGAGCGCCTCCTGGCCGCCTGGCCCGAGCCCTCTGTTGCGGAGAGCCGGGAGGAGGAGGCAGCGTGGCTTCCCCCTGGGGGGTCGAGCGGGCGGGGGCCGACGCGTTGGTCGGGCGACATCAGCGGACCGCCTTACCGATTCGCGGCAGGGCTCATCCCAGGATCAGGTTGGACAGGATCGGTGAGGTGGAGAGTCGACGTCGCCCGATGTTCCCAACCCTGTTGGTTCTCACTCTCCGACCTGGTATTATCATGATTCCCATCCATCCTGTGGTGTTGGGTCTTCGTTTTGAAGAGACGGTGCCCCGCCTGCCTCCTCCTCCTCCTCTCCTCCTCCCTCCCCTTCCTTGCCTCTGCCATCCGCATGTCTCTGTTTCGGCACACCCCTCACGCCTTTCGAGACCCCATAAGGAGCTCCACCTAGGGTCCCAGTAGCGGAACTCGCATGGCATCCCCGCCCCATTTTGGCACACCCCTCACACGTTTCGTGGCCCCATAGGGAGCTCCTTCCCAGTGGCGAACTGCGCATGGCGGCGCTTTTCAATTTTGGCACACCCCTCACACGTTTTCCTGGCCCCATAGGGAGCTCCACCTAAGGTCCCAGTGGTGCAGTTCGCGTGGCGTCGCCGCCCCCTTTAAGCACACCCCTCACACGCTTCGTGGCCACATAGGCATTTTCACTGAAGGTCCCAGTGGGTGCGCCCGCATGCGTCACCCACACCCATTTCGTCACACCCCTCAGACGTTTCGTAGCTCCATTTGGAGCTCCAGCGAAGGCCCCCATGCCACCGCCCGCATGCGTCGTCACCAACGCCCATTTGGCACACCCCTCACACGTTTCGTGGCCTTATAGGGAGCTTCACCGAAGGCGC